CCTGGCTTCTATAATCTTTTTGTTTTTGACAAGTGTCTGAAGGAACTCCAACTCCTATGAAAATAAGAAGAGGTTGGCAAGGAGGGGCGCACAGTTCGTTCCCATAGCTATATATATATATATATATATATAGGAATGCCGACAATTTGTTGAAAAAGTGTACCTCCGAATTCAACAAATATGTTGTCAATAAGAAACTTCAGAATAATGATCATTTGTTCCTCTGTGTAGAATGTTTTACCTTTTTGTTCACTATTAACAAAATATGCCGTATGTCATCCCAAAGCAATAAATTCAAAGCGTATGATACCTTTTTTATATTGAAAAGCTTTGTGGATTATTTCTTTTATTTTCAATTTCAAATAGGGAATGGTGGTATACAGAGTTAAAAAAGTTTTAATAAAATTGATTCCAGAGAAAGATTGGGATTTTAAATTATCCAGATGTTCTTAAGAGTTTTTTTTAGAATCCACATATGGTTAATACCACTACTCGAATAATTAGTTTCACAGTATTTCTGAAGACCCTCTTTCACTGCAGACAGAATTTTTGTCAATCTAATGGATAGTTCCTTTGTAGAACATGCATATGACCCGCAATGTACCGTTGTTTGTACGGAATTTTGTGAAGCTTAGGTATCCAATACAAACAAGGTAAGTAATCAGAATTCTGTTCAATGTAAAGTTCATTGAAGTCATGAAGGATTTATGACTCGCCAAAATCTCATCCTTGTCGAATGATATGTTTGTATGTGGGATTACCTGAGTGGTCATTTATTCCTTATTCTTTTACAAGACACTCTTAGTAGTACGATTTACATACAAAACAATATCACTGGAAGCCTTGTCAGCAGGAACAACACCATATTTATCGTGAAGGGATGATAGACATTTTATAGCTTCTCTATCTCTGAAAATGGACTTTGGTCAATCATTCACATACAGTTGGGTGCAGACCAAGCATTACATAAAGTAAACGCAAGTTAAAGACGCGTGCACATATTTCGTCAGTTAACTTCAATTTTAGCGTTTACTATAATTACGTTAACGCGGTCAAAATGGAAATTTCTAATGTCTACTCGAGTAAAAGGGCATTTACTCTGTGTCCGTTTAGTCAGTAGTAAACGGGCGTTTACTTCAGATTTCACAAGTTTATTTTTACGTGCACTTAAACGGGCGTTTACTACAGATTTCACAAGTGTATTTTACGTGCACTTGAAAGTAAACGCGCGTTTACTTTTCGCGTTAACTGATTGTGTAAATTAATTAAGAGATAAATTACGTGTTCATTTGTACATTTGTTTTATCAAAACGACTTTTACCTTAATATTTTACGTATATGTGTTTCAAACAAGAACAATTCAAAATCACTTTTAATTCGAAATATTAACTTTTATTAAATTACAAAAAATCAGTTCTAATAACTTTAATGAGTAGCAGATTTTCTATATTTCCTTTTCAAAAGTTACATAATATACAAATATCGAGGCGGATAGAAAGGTTATCCAACACATCGGAAAAATATTTTTGTATGATGGGATATAAACATCATGGTTTACGTTGCTTCGTTCCCCATTTTTAACAGTCTCTTCCTAAATATAATTTTTTTTTATCGTAATTCACCTTATTTGCCTTGGATTTACATGATTTAAGATTCTGTTTTGCGAAATGTTCAAACGAAAATTGTACAGTGTATATATAGGGATATTTATAAAGTGTTGAATAAGTATGTACATTTGTACCATCTCGTCAATTTAGACAGACTTATCCATAACGATTATAAATGATATCTGGGACGTTCGAAAAATATACTCGATCTGAACATGAATGAAATATTTGCCCCTGGACGTTAGGCTACAAATAAAATCAATCAACCTACATAATTTATTAACAGTATACTATTCTAAAAAGAAAACTTCTCATACTCATCATTATAAAGTACACGAATCAGTCATGAGAGTGTTTGGTGATGCCGTTAAATAATTTAGTGACGGTTCATTATTATGGATACAGAGAGGAAATCATGGCACTCTTAATTGATGTAGACAAAATTTTGTAGCCATTGTGTTCCAATATTGCTGTCATCTTTATTATACAATCCGTCCTGACATAGACATATTATTGATTTATGATGAGGACATATATATTTACATGATAAAGTGCAAAAATGGTCAGTTTTGGTTGATGAGGACATATTATTTTATTATACGAGTCATCCTGAGGTATCAAAACTACTCAACTTTGTTCACGGTTCAATTTTTGAATAAAAAGAGACATTTCTAGTACTCTAAGTTGATGTGGACAAATTTTTGTAGTCATTGTGTTCCAATATTGCTCTCATTTGTATTATATAGTCCCTTGATATAAAAATATTACTGATTTACTATGCAAATATAAGATTTACATAATAAAGTCCAAATATGTTCAGTTTTGGTTGATGCAGACAAATAATTTTGATATGCGAGTAGGTCTGAGGTATCAAAACTACTGAAATTTGTTTACAATTCAATATTTTGAATAAAAAGAGGACATGCTGGTACTCTTAATTGATGCGGAAAATTATTTGTAGTCATTGTGTTCCAATATTGCTGTCATTTGTATTGTATAGTCCCTTCTGACATAAAAATATTACTGATTTACTATGCGGCTATTTAGATTTACATAATGAAGAGCAAATATGGTCAGTTTTGGTTAATGCAGTCAAACAATTTTGTTATACGAGGCATCCTATTGTATCAAAACTACTGAAATTTGTTCACGGTTCAATAATTTGAATGAAAAGAGGACATGCTGGTACTCTAAATTGATGTGGAAACTTATTTGTAGTCATTGTGTTCCAATATTGCAATCATCTTTATTATACAATCTGTCCTGACATAAAAATATTACTGATTTACTATGCCAATATTAGATTTACATAATAAAGTCCAAATATGGTCAGCATTGGTTGATGCGGACAAATAATTTTGTTATGCGAGTCAGTCTGAGGGATGAAAACTACTGATATTTGTTTACGATTCAATATTTTGAAAAAAAGATGACACTCTAAATTGATGCGAACAAAATTTTGTAGTCATTGTGTTCCAATATTGCTGTCATTTGTATTATACAGTTCATCCTTACATTTAAATATAACTCATTTACTGTACGGCTATATAGATTAACATGATAGAGTGCAAATATGGTTAGTTTTGGTTGATGTGGTAAAATAATTTTGTTATGCTAGTCACTCTGAGATATCAAAACTACTGAAATTTGTTCGCGATTCAATACTTTGAATAAAAAAAGGACATGCTGGCATTCTCAATTGCAGCTATATAGATTTACATAGTAAAGAGCGAATATGGTCAGTTTTGATTGATGCGGTCAAAAAATTTTGTTATACGAGGCACCCTCAGGTATCAAAACTACTGAAATTTGTTTACGATTCAATAAAAAAGAGGACATATTGGCACTCTAAATTGATGCGAACAAAATTTTGTAGTCATTGTGTTCCAATATTGCTGTCATTTGTATTATACAGTTCATCCTGACATAAAAATATATTAACTGATTTACTATGCCGCTATATAGATTTACTTGATAAAGTGCAAATATGGTCAGTTTTGGTTAATGGGATCATATAATTTTGTTTTACGAGTCAGCCAGTCTGAGATGTGAAAACTGTTGGATTTTGGTGATGATTAAATTATTTGAATAAATGAAGGACATGCTTGAACTGTTCATTTGTGAAGAAAAAGAAATTTGCTATGATAAATTTTAAATTAAGTACTAGTAAAGAGGTGTAATAACATTATTAATTAACTCTAATCGTCAATATGTCAATCGAAAATGACCAGTTGGTCATTTAATTTTGATGTACCTTATCATTTGATATTAAAGATCAGTGTATCCAGGATACGATGACAATCTGCGTTAACGCGCGTTTACTCTCGATCGTTTATTACAAACAGTAAACGTGCGTATACTTTTGACAAATATAGAAGACTCGCCTTTTTCCACGTTAACGCGGAAGTAAACGTTTACTCTTTACAAAATTAGAAGACGCGCCGTTTTTGCGATAACGCGGAGGTAAACGCGAAAGTTAACGCCCGTTTACTTTTTATGTCTACTGAAAGTTACCGCACTTATCGGAGTTAACGCACAGTTAACGCGGCGTTTACATGAAGTGCACGCGAGTAAACGCCGCGTTAACTTGTAATGCACCCAACTGTAGTTTTTCAACTTATGAAATCGACGTTTTATCAGAGAGCTGATTCTTTTGACCCATTCTACAATAGTGTCCAGTTCAACTTCTTCTCGTTTAGCCCATGCTCTGGTGTTGTCCTCAATGGAATCTATAATCATTTTGAAGTTATGGTTCCAAATGATTTGTTTGGGTTCTAAATAACATGAATAATTAAGTCAGACTAGCTGCCTCCCAGCACCTATGGTACTTTGATTTTGTTTGATTCAAAATAATTGATATTATTTACTGTTAGTGATTGGAAGAATGTTTACAATCATATTGATATATAATGTTTGACAGAATTTTTAGTGTTCACAACACGAGTCCAAAGAAAATATGCATTATGCTTGTTCCACGCCGGAAGTGAAATGATATACTTTAATTTGTTAAAATATTGATTCCCAGATAGACAAAACTTATGAATCTTAGTTGGACATTAGTCAAATTGAATTTTCAGATAGACTCAAATATACGAAAAGGGTAGTAAAATTAGTTTAGTTAGATTGATTATAAATGAAGACATGTGAAGTCGAAAAAATACTATTTTGCCCTGTATTTTTAATTTTGAAAAAATGTTGTGCATGCAAACATTTTATTCCAGTTTCACTAATTTTATAGAAAAGCTCCTTTTGCAAATTACACTGCTCTTATTACAAAAGTGCTACCTATATAAACTATCAACAACAATAATAAATGTTATTTTTGTGAAGGGGTTTTCCCATTGAAATAGATTTAAAACCATCAGATGCGCATATCTCAAATTTTAACTTCCGACTCGTACTACATTTGTTGTCATTCCCTGCTTGACAACACTGTACATTTTCGACATTTAATAGAAAAGGTAATTTTGGCACTTGATAATTATTTGAACTTCATGCATACTATTTCATAACATATGTACAAACAACTAGGTGCAATTACAATACTGTACTAGTAATTGCTAAAGACTATTTATCGATAAATTTATTCAGGTGTATTAGAAGCCATTTTATTTTAATACTGACTTTCTGGAAATCGGACTAAAAAATACACGAAGTGTCATATTGAAATATGTTAATTACTCGAGAGTATGAATAGGGTATTTTAAATGCACAATTTTTCTGAATTTGTTATACACATTTATATGAAACATGAAAGCATTGCTTATGTTTTAAAAGTTAAAATACCATATTATTTATGGAGATAATTTGTAAAAGAAATTGATGACCTCAAATGTAAGGTCATGAATAATTACAGATAATACGGAAACAATGCTTGCAGGTGATTTGATTAGATTTCATAAGATCGCGTTCATTTAAGATTATTTACGAACTAATAGGACAAAAGAACTTCCTTGACTTTACTGTACTGGTAAAAGATAAGATCTTTCCGAGTTCGAATTAATGCCATCGTACAATTTATCTAAAATATGTCATCGTATATGACTATAATATTCACAAAAAAAGCTTAATCGTTTCAATTTAAAGCTTTTTAAATTGAAAGTATATAATCACGGAACTTTGAGCACGACTTACTAAAAATGTATTTCCAAAATGATGTAAGTAGTTAGTAAGTGTTTGATGGCAATGATGATCTACTAGAATTCCCGGATTATATCCTTTTCCTGGTATCAAGTACTTCACAATTGTATTGTCCTAAAAATTGTGTTAACTGTATGGACATCTTTCAAATCTTTATAATAGTTAAACACCTTAAGACCTATACTATAAAATATACGTCCTTGTTTTATTGTACTTTGTTCAGATATTGACAAGAGATTTTTTTTAAATGCGCAAACTTGGTTCATCTAATCTAATAGTTATGTAATCAATGATATAAACAATTAGTTTTGAACCTTTAAATACAATATTGTCTAGGCAAAAACGTTGGAAATTCTGAATGTTCATTTTCTTTAACAGATTTTGAACTATCTACAGCTTGGGCTTAAGATGTTACTAGGCAAAGCATTGTGTATATTAGCATTCAATGTTGTGTCATTCAACCGTGGAGTGTATGGTAAGGTATACATATGTATTGATAACTTTTATTTATGAAATATAAAGAAAGACTGATAGACGGTGTTAAGATGTTTATCTATTGGTGTCGATGTTATAAAGGTATAACATGTTTAAAATTAAATAAGTCGGTGGCATATAGTATTCATATGTGTAAACATTATGAATTTGTTTCAATTTGTATATAACTCATAAAAAAAACATTATTGCACGTACAAATATAACTAATACTGAAATACTCGTTATTAAAGAAAATGTGAAATAGCAACGGTAGACAAATATTGCCTTATTTTGTTTTCCTATTTGGAGGTGATTGATCTGGATATTATTCCAAATTTTCAAATAGAATTTTGTGTGATTATAAGAAATCTCTAATGGGTATTCCAATTTTTCCTTTTTTTTCAATGAACGGTTAATGCGCATAATTTCCAAATCCCACGAAAAAATTAATTGCGTAAACAAATTAAAAGAATTCAAAAACGTATGTTTAATACATTTTATGCAGAAATATGATGGTTCCTAAAGCATGTAAAGTGGTCAAAAATTACATTTTTTCGTTATGATGACGCTTTGGTCAATAACAACTAATGAAGATTTTGAGTTGATCTAAATGAGATAGCAACTCAACAATTTGAGTTAGACAAAGAAGACCTACTGAAGTGCAAAGCCTGGCTTCAACAATAGATAAGAGTCGGTGCTGGGAGAAGCAACAATGGACAAGAGCCGGCGCTGGGAGAAGCTTTAAAATTGCCAGAATATTAACATGCACTGAGGATATTTTACAAAAACTGATTATTCAACATCCACAAAACAAAAATTGAAATTCAGGAAGACTATCGAATAAAAAACTGTAAAAAGGCCAAAAAAAGCACGATGTTGAGGAGCATTTAGGGTCCTAAATTCCGAAAGGTTTTTTTATCAAATACAGCTAAGGTTATCTATTCCCGGGGTGGACAATCTGCAGTATTTCGAAAAATGCATTGTTTTGCAAACAGTTAATTTATGATTATGACAATATCAGTGACAAATCGTGTCAACGCTGAAGTGCTGACAACTGTGCTGGTGGTATTCTCGGGGAGGAAACCTCCACCAGCAAGGGCATCGACCTAATAGTTGTAAAACAACTCATTATAGATACCAGACTGAAATTGTGAACGCCAGTCACACGTTTTGGCTCCACAAGACGCAATAGTGACGTTCGAATTAAAAAGTTCAAAAGGCCAAACAAAGTAAGAAGTAGAAGAGCATTTAGGACCCAAAATTCCCAAAGGTATACCAAATACAACATGCAACTGGATGTAACTGCAACATGTCAATTTTTTACAAAAAAATTACGTATTCGGATAAGGTTTCTCACTTTGGACTTTTCATTAATCAACTTACTTACTAAGTAATTATCTATTGATGCATTTATTTTTTGGGGGCTAGCTTTATTTTTATATAAAGTACTTTATTTCTTTTAATGATAATCACGAAATTACAAACAAAATACCAAAAAAAAAAAAACAGAAGAGAATTAACAGGCTGGCAGTTAAACTACATATTGAAATATCAAAGTTTAGCTCCCTAAATTCCCTTTAAAAGTATGAATCCCGCGTGTTATTTTCTGCAAACATTTTTGATTTTTTTTCTAAATGTGTTTCTTCTACTTGATATTGACTACATACAATTTTTTTCAACGTAGAACAGCTTCCAAGCTATCTTTTTGCAGATGGCGGTATTTTGGGCAACTGTATTGGTTGTTATGATTGGCTGTGTAATTAGCAAGAAATGTGATTGCAGTCATTTAATGATGTAAAAAACGTCCTTAGCACTAAATGAAATATGTTATTAAGTTCCATGGTGATTTACAATTGAATCATTGACATAAATTTTGTTTTTCACTCATTTTTATCATTTCACTGGCATTTCTGGAAAAGGGCGCTATCTTTTAAAAATACGTCATTAATATCTTAGATCGCGTTTGAAAATTGACTAACAGTCTCTGTTCTAAATGTGTTTTTTTTTATATTTCTACACATAATTTAATATTAAGAAGACAGAATATGCAAAAATGATATCGTCTAGTAAAATGAGAAATTGTCCGTCCTTGACCTTTCATCGTGATTTAACAGAAATTACACCATACGAATATATGACGACCGGGCAAAAGAGAACTCACAGATGATATGCTTTCGAATGGTATATGATTTAGCCGTATGTTAGGTGGGTGCATTAAAAATGAAATTTTATGGTTAATGTCACTCGACTATAAATGACGTCTTTTGTATAGACACTATGTCCACTAGGACGCTAAACATGTTTTGTTTGATGATAATATTATAAAACATAAAACATAATTATCATGAAATATTTGCATTTTTTACTGAGTAATGCAAACGAGGAAAATTGAAGGTTTTAAGTGTTTTGTGTAAATCTTTTTATTTCAATGTTGCTTGATAACTCAGAACAATTAAAAAAAATAAATAAGTGACTGGTATACAATAAAGATTAACTCTTTCTTCGAGTAGAATTATAGGAGGTTATTTTTGACAGTTTTTGTTTGCAAATAAATAGAAAAGATTGTTGGTGTATTTGCTGTGGAATCATCTGTTAAAATAAAGAGTTTTGTAGGGTGTATATATGTCAAGGATCTATGAAACAGCAACCCAACAAGATAAAATAAAAAAACGAAGAAAAATACATGAATGTAAACTTTGTCTTCATTAAAATACCGTTGTTTATACAATATTTCTATAAATCGTAGTTACCAGGATTACAATTTTGTTAAAGAACATTGTGAACTCAAATTCCGAAAGTTTTTACCAAATACAGCTATAAGGTAATATATTCCTGGTTTAGAAAATCCTACGCATTTCGAAAATAAAACAATTTATACATAATTATGACCACACAATGATAATTCATGTCAATAAAGAATTGCTGACTACTTCACTACCAGAGATCAGCTTAATACTAAATTCACTAAAGTAAAGAAATCAAAATCTTTTTTAAGAAAATCACTAGCGAACTTTGGACAGCCACATTCTAAATCAGCTAAGTTAAACTACTTTTAAGCATTGAAAGCTCCAACCCCCTTTTAAAATGATCGGCGAAATAACCAAAGTTACTAATTTGTCGGCACACGAAACCGGCTGACAACACTTTGCTTCAGGTTATTTAGTAGGACTGATCTCAAAGATGATAAAAACATTTAGGTTCGTTAGAAGAATTCCGCATTTTTAATGTTAAAAAACTTTTTGTGTCGCGTAAGTTAGACTAAAGAATCTAGGGGTATGAGGAAAAAACAGGTCTTCTGAGTACAATACTACAATTGATTAAAAAAAAGGTTATATGATCTCTTAAGCTTGCATAGTTAATCTTTTGTTAGCAAAATGGACCAATATTGACTAAAAGCTTTCTGCAGTTTTGCTGTAAAATACAGATATATCAATCAATGCACCAAACAAAGCGACTAGTAAAACAATAATGAAGATGTTGTATTATTGACAATGCGACAACTACCCACCAGAGTTTAAACTACCAGCATATAAACAACAGTAGGTCACCGTATTAGTAGTGTGTTGCATTTGATTTGTATCATTGTGCAAGGGTCTAAAATTCGAATTTATTATGGTACTGTGAAAACTTTGAAAGGAAAACATATTTTCTGTTACAATACATGAAAATCATAGAATATATTGATTCCTTTGTTATTGGTCAATGTTTTGGCCTAAACAGTTGTTTTTAATTATGTTATATGGATGTAAAGGCTATTGCATTAAAGCAATGCAATATTCGAATTTTAGGATTAAGAAAAACCCATAATGTTAAAATACTTCCAAGGACATAAAGGAATTACTTATTTATGACTATTATGTCAGGTTTAGATTGGCCATGGAATTGGGTTGGTGTGACCGGTGTTGGAACAACGGGTAAAATGGTTTTAGCTTCAACTGTGTCACCAATGTGTGCAGCGGTGTGTGGAAGTTCAGAAGAAAGACAAGGTATTTTTTTATAAGACACAAACCAACTGATTGATTAAAGTATTTGAAATGTAGTTTATCAATGAAAAGGCATATGTACATATAGAAACAAAGATATCGTCGACAGCTGCAAATGTATAATTTGCTTTGATCACAAATTTTAATGACCCATCTCCTAACATTTTCTTCGAAACAGCTTCCGTTTCATAAGTTGCTGCACATTAAACATCAATAAATAAAGGCAACAGTAGTTTACCGCTTTCATAAATCGATTGAGAGAAAACAATTCCGGGTTACAAACTAAAACAGAGGGAAACACATCAACTATAAGAGGAAAACAACGAAACAACAGACACACTGAAGTGCAATAAAAACAAACGCCAACGTACATAGAAACGAACTATTTGATAACAACTGCCATATTCCAGACGGTACAGGACATTTTAAGAAAAAACGGAGAGTTGAACCTGGTTTTATGGCTAGTGTTACACCTCAATATTAATTAAAAAGACAACATCGAGTTCATATACAATATTTATATATTGCAAACATGTAACCAACTTTTCACATCGAGCAACAACCTTAAGAGTGACCAGAATATACATTAAATCTGTCTTTATCTTTGAATGTTAACCATATTAAAATAACCAGAAATTTTAAGTGTTCTTCAGTGGTGACTTTATGGCCATAGATAAATAGCTCTGATTAATTGCGACAGTTCTATAGAGTTCATTCAAATGTTAAGAAAATATAACTATTTAACGGTTAACTGGTGTCACGATCATAGTTCTTGTAATGTCTATTACACAAATAATATTGAAATTGGCCTTTCAATATCCCCCTTTTCAAGAGAAAACATTGTTTTTGACAATTAACTTTAAAATAAAATAAAAGGCGCTCCAATTTACATAGCTGTAACAAAAACAATAAAGCATAACGCTTACAGTCAAACTTTGTTAAATTCTTGATAAAGCAACGACACTGTTCTTTGATGTTTTGGACGGTAACATTAATAGCACTTCGCCTCCAGGTTCAAATTCTCTGAATCTTGCATGCTTGTCGTACCAAGCCCTGATTATTTCTTTACGATATGACAAATTTCCTTTAACAATTCTGACATATCTGCCAAACGATCACGTATAGTAATCACATGTTCAATAACTGAACGGTGTATCTCATCCTCTCCAGTAAATAATCCACGAAGTATGGCTATCGGACCTCTCATAGGCCAACCATGCAACAACTCAAACGGCGAAAAGTCTGTTTCTTCATGCAGTACATCACGATACGCGAATAACGCATAAGGAACCAATTCATCCCATTCCTCGACAGATTTCGTGCACAACTTCTTAAGCATGTACGTCAAAGTACCATTTAAACGCTCGCATCTCCCATTCGACTGCGGTCTGTATGGAGACGTACATCCTCGGGCTCCTAATATTTCGTACAAATCGGCTAGCAATTGACTCATAAAATCAGAACCCTGATCGGTTAAAGTAGTCTGAGGTCTTCTTACTGGACTGAACATAAGTATCAAAGCGTCAGCAATAGTCTTTGCTTCAGTGTTCTTTAACGGAAACGCTTTCGGATATCTCGTTGCTTCGTCTACGACAGTAAGAACATATTTATTTCCTTTTTTAGTTCGTTCCAACGGTCCTATGATATCCATTGATATTTTACGAAAAAGCTCTTGTACTACGGGCGGCGAAATCATCGGATTCTTCTCACTACTACGTCGTTTCGCGGTTTTCTGACATACATCGCACTGTGTACAATACTCGGTAATAAATTCAAATGTGACGTCACTTTGTGTTTTTTTAGAATTTCAAATGTGACGTCACTTTGTGCGTTGATGCTTTGGCTAACTCGGCTGTGTATTTTTATATGTTTGATTAAGTTGTTTTATGTAATGTATCCGTTTTTATTCTGTAGTTAGTCCCCACTTCGGTTTTATGATGTTTATCTATTATATAGTCATTTTATAAAATTTACTGTTTGCAAAATTATAAATTATTCTAAATAATAAGGATGTTCTTGTCCCAGGCAGAAAACCCTGGCCGTGTTAGGCGCAACTTTTTGGAAGTTTTGGTCCTCGGTGCTCTTCGGCTTTGTACTTGTTTTGGCTTTCAAGCTTTTTTCATCTGAGCGTCACTGGATGGTCTTGTATGGACGAGACGCACGTCTGGCGTATTGAGTTTTATGCCTAGTACCTTTTGTTAGCTATTATTCGTGTGTTTCTTTGTCCGATATGTTCTCCCATTTGTTTGTATTGTGGTCCTGTCATGTGATGTTGTCGTTTTGGTGTTATGTTTGACGTTGCCATTAAAGCGGGAGTTTGACATGCCACAAAACCAGGTTCAACCCACCATTTTTTTCTTAAAATGTCCTGTACCAAGTCAGGAAAATGGCCATTGTTATATTATAGTTCGTTTCTGTGTGTGTTACACTTTAATGTTGTGTTTTTGTTGTGTCGTTGTTCTCCTCTTATATTTGATGCGTTTCCCTCAGATTATGTTTGTAACGCGGATTTGTTTTTATCTCTATCGATTTATCAGTTTCGAACAGCGGTATACTACTGTTGCCTTTATTTAATATATCTGAATATTCCGGGCCAATAAAGATATGCTAAGATTCGGTCTTTAGTTTTTTCAATTCCTAGATGTCCAGCCATAGGTTGATCATGTGCAATCTTGATGACGGCATTTCTAAATCAAGATGGAAGTACAACTTGAGTTCCTTGTTTTCTACCATCTTTTGTCTTCCACCTACTCATTAAAACATTATTTTCGTAGTAGAACGCGTTTGGTTCATCGCTATGATCAACTGCCTTTCTTATATTAATCAGAGATTCGTCTTCGTGTTGAAGTTTCGTAATATGTTCAATATTTACAGACGAAATATTACCAGTAGTTATATCATCATCTTCGTTTATTTTCTTCACTTCCACGGCATGTTGAACTTCGCTTTCGGGTGTATCATCGTCGGATTCGATCTCTTCTGCGGCGCCCTTAGCTTGTGTTCTGGTTACAACAAATGCGTTACTAGTTCGCTCTAGTATATCCATTCCCAAAAGTGCTTCGGCGGCCAATTCCGGTACAAGTCCAACTTGAGAAATACCTCTATAATACGGTGTGTCTATGTCAACTACAGCAACCTTAGCACAAAACGTTTGTCCAGTTACAGTTTGAAGAGTTACATTTTGTCCTTGTAAAATGTTTTTACTATCCACAAGATGTTTATGAATTAATGTCATGTCGGTACCAGTGTCTTTTACAAAGCTTAATTGCTTCCCGTTTACTTTGTGAAACACAAATAAGTTTGTGTCCAACAAGCGGTTTAACTAAATAAGATGCCGGATTTCCTGTTTTCTTGTCCTTTTTCCCACAATCACGTGCATAATGTCCAAAAGCTTTACATTTGAAAAAGTGGTTATTGTCAGTTTTTGTTCTTTTTTCATCATTTTTTACATTGTCATTTTTTGTCGGTACTATGTAGTCCTCTGCTGCCTCTACTACGGACGCGCTGCCTTTATTTCTTTTTACCCATTGCGCTTGAACTGGTGATAGAGCCTTCAGAAAAAATTCCTCTTGTAAAAACTTGATCGGATCTTTGTCTTTGATACATCGGTTGAGATTTTGTATAATTCGCGCCATCAAAGATCTGTAAGTTTCATTGTCAGCTTTTCTTACATTAACTAAGTCAACAAAATATTCATGGGGTCTCTTTCCATATCGATCGATTAGCGCACGTCTTAGATCATCATACGAATTGGACGCTTGTGAAGAAACTTGTCTTGCTTCACCTGTCAACAATGTTCTTAACTGTAAAATCTTAATGTCATTAGACCAATTTGTTTGACCACTTACTGTATCGAATTCCGATAAAAATGTTAAGATGTCGTCGAGTTTCGGATCAAACAGTTGCAAGTTTACCTTGAATGGTAGTGACTTATACTTGTCAGTATTAGGACGGTTTTCTCCCTGTAAACGAATTCTTTCTCTTTCGATTTCTAATTTCTCTTTTTCGATTTCGAATTTTTCACGTTCGATTGCAAGCTTTTCCCTTTCGATATCTAACTCATGTTTATTTATTTTTCTTGTTGCTTTTTTAGGCGGCGGAGTTTTCGGTCTTGGAAAAACTTCTTCTACAACTGGCACGTCGCTTTCATCTGCATATTCGGCATCTGTAAATTGCATTAAATTTATATTTCTTCTTGGACGATTTTTTGCTATGCTGCCTCCTTCCAGTACACCTCCTTCTTCATTTACGGATCGTAACACTAAATACAATTAACCCTATGATTAATGAAAATAAAACGAAAGTGAGTTTAAGGCTAGAAAATATACGCTCGATAATTCAAAGTCAAGGCTGAATCATCAGCCGGATATATTCCAAAATACGGAATCACACATATCCAATAAAGTAACTAAATAAAATTATCATATCCAATTAATCGCTGAATCACACAGCTGGATATGCGCAAGGTTAACGGCACACATACGCAATATTTAATCCAATTGCAAAAATAACTGATAAATCACATCAGCTACGTAAGCAATATTCCTACGATAGCAACTATATCCTTAAGGACAATTACGCTTATAATCCACTACAGAATAATTAATATCTTAAATTAATTAATCCTTTTCCGCTGCCACCATTTATGCTACACCTCAATATTAATAAAAAAGACAACATAGAGTTCATATACAATATTTATATATTGCAAACATGTAACCAACTTTTCACATCGAGCAACAACCTTAAAACTGACCAGAATATACATTAAATCTGTCTTTATCTTTGAATGTTAAACATATTAAAATAACCAGAAACTTTAAGTGTTCTTCAGTGGAAACTTTATGGCCGTAGATAAATAGCACTAATCAATTGCGACAGTTCTATAGAGTTCATTCAAATGCTAAGAAAATATAACTAGTTAACGGTCAACAGGTGTCACGGTCATAGTTCTTGTAATGTCTATTACACAAATAATATTAAAATTAGCCTTTTAACAGCTAGCCAAACCTCCCGCTAATATGACAATGTTAAAAAATATCGCTAAAATGACAACACTACTTGACAGAAACACAGCTCAAACAAACGCAGGAACACTCAGCAGAACAGAGAAACGCACAAATAAATAATACAATAGTCGTTAAAGCATGTAAACCGCAGAATAACGACGAACATCTTACATTAACGACAGCACAGGACATCACAAACAGTGACGTATTTTTGTAACGAATATATAATCTTGAAATTCATACAATTATTTTCACAATACTAGTCCAAACAATCATCATGACTATGACGGTATTGAAAGCAATTTAAAACAAATGCAATTCAATAACACAGTAAATCATAGAATTGCACCTGTTTGCATTTAAAATGATTCATCGGAAAGTGTCAATTCTTGTTTGACCGACACAGGTATTTCTATTTGCAGACCTAAAGTGTCATACTCGTAAAATCGACGGAACGAAAGGCTTGGATGAATATCTGATACTAGCTAATCCAGTAGAAAGTGTAAAAAAATGTGAAGAGCAATGCAACGATCAACCCAATTGCAGGGCCTTCCGATATCTACCGAAAAATTACCTTTGCTTTTTATACAAATCACAAAAATACATTGAAGACGATGATAGTGAAAGCCAGTTCTATATCAAAGGTTGCATTTTATGCTACATGAACGTCATTGAAAAGGAAACTCAAAAAGTTTGGGAAGTATCCACATTCAAAGAATGTGAGAATCATTGTATTAAGTCTGACGACTGCAGTGCTGTTCATTTTGATGGAAAGAGATGCTTCAAGTTTACCAATAAAGTGGAACCAAATGAGAAAACAGGCTTTGCTTTTTCAACCAAAATTTGTATAGATTTCAACGATAATGCAAGTGAATATCATGGTAAGGTTTTGGTAAATACTTTTACTATTAATTTTACGTGGTAATTAAATAGCAGAAGACAAATAAGGGATAGTAGTAAAAACGTGATACTGTTTTGATAAATAGTCATATCCATGACTACTTTTCCCCAAAAATTGATCACTTTTGCGTGAACCCCTGAGGGTTATATATATTAATTGATGTTGTAGTCTTTCAGAATACCGGAAATGCCTTCTGTCTGTTCGGAATACATCTGTTCTTTTCTATGGCCACCTGTGTAATAGGTAATGAATTGATCTAATGAATATGTATTTGCGTCCAACAGTTGCTATAGAGATAAGTGTTCATCAAGACTGATTTATATCGTACATCAATAGTTAATTAAATTAGAGTCGCATATGTTTAGGTTTCTGAAATACAAGCTGTGTTCACATTGGATATCAAGTAGATTTAAAGCGAAAAAAGTGACGGTCAATGGATATGGCGTTTTACGATTTTCAAACTGATCCATTTTAGCGAAATCAAAAAAAGAATAAGTTCATTTTTAAATAAAAGCAGCAATTAAAATTCTACGTCCAGAAAGGATGGGAACAATCAAGGTGTTTCTAAAATTGTTCCTATTTTGATTAAAATAACAAAAACGGATTTTTTATAGTCACATATTATCTAACTGGTAAAATATTGGAAAAAATTACAAATTATAACAAAAAGAAATTAAATTAAAGAAAAGCAAACTGATCTTAAAGAATCGTTGAGTTGTGTAAAATGCAGATATAAGATGCTCCAACAAAATTTTTTATTTTTTAATATATTTTAGCGGTATGTTGAATGACAATTCTGAAAGAATAATTAAATGTTTTGGCTTGATGTTTGTGATGTCGTATAATAGAAAAAAAGATTATGTATATGCAATAGCAGTGTTGAAATACTAATACAGAGTTAGAAATAAAATAACGAATGTCCTTCAAGAGACTGAGTGATGATAGATACAGTCAGAGATAAGATAATGATTTTTTTTAATTAAGGCCCTTTATTTTTATCAAACTTAAACATAAATAAAGAAACAAAAGCAATAATTTTAATAAAGGACAACGCTATGAAATCAGATAGTTATTTTTCTCGTATGAGTTGTTTAACGTCGTCATTTCGGGGCCTTTTATAACTCACTATGCGGTATGGGTTTTGCTCATTGTTGAAGACGTACGGTGACATATAGCTGTTAACTTCTTCGTCACTTGGTCTGTAGTGGAGGGTTGTCTCATTGGCAAACATACTACATCTTCCTTTTTTTTACTTAAAGAAACCATACTTAACCTTATTTAAAAATACAAGTAAACTCTGGAAATTACGAGGAAATTTTATGTGTGTTAAATGCAGAAATTACACGTCACATCGAAACAGTTTATAAATGAATATGAGTTTGAGTCCTTAAAATAATTCTAAAGATATGAAAAGATTTACAGACACTGAGTTATTTTCTTTGGAGTTGAGGCGATAACTCATTATTTATTCAAAAATTATGGTCAATGAAATAAAACAATTTGAGGTTTGATATATTCCTCGATGTTTGGCATTGAAAACTATCATAAATTACTACCGGTATCTGGTTTGCAAAGATAGATGAGCAATTGTCCAAAGACTTAAAATAACAGGAAGATGAGTATTGTATATAATCATGATTCTTATATGAAATTAGAGATGCGTATGTTAATTTTCTTTAGAAAAATGTGTGAGTTTTCTAAAGGGCACGTGTGTCGACTTTCCTCTCCGAAACATATAGTTATAAATGGCAAAGTGAATTCTTTTGTTTTCGGTATGTGAAACAACCCACCTCCCCCTCAAAATAAAATCAGATTAAAAAATGAAGCAGCTGGTGCACAACTTCATGTCCCACCTAAAGAAGAATCAGTGCAAGTTTTTGGGAATTCCGTCAATTTGTTTTCAAGGAGTCGAGCTAATATGTAGTCATAAGCGAATTTAGAGGGTCTAGTTGACAGAGGTCTAGAGCGTGTTTGGCTACAACTTAGTAAAAGATTTTTTTTTTAAAATCAATATCCGTATAAAACGAAATGTTTGAGCAAACTGATTCAAGTATAAAGTTGAGGTTTCAAATTGTTTCTACTCTAAAAGTCTGTTTTGAGTTTGTTGCCTGGAGTATAAATAAATTGAGATCAGGAATATCTCGAATATGATAGACAATGACGAAACCATATAAACCAGTGTAATTGATTTTCCAAAACGGTCTTGATTCGGAATGATCAATTAACAAATACGAATATAGCTTAGGGTTTTGAACTATTTTCAAACAGGCTACATACAAATAATCATGATTCATTTCATAAACTTCTTCAAAACAAAGACTGTTTTCACATTTACATTTCGACTTATGCCAGGAAGCCACCTTTAATTTCCAAAATAGCACCTCAGAATGGAACAAACAGTGGTTGCCTCTTATTTAGCATGTTGTACAATCTAATCTAAATATAGAGATGTGTTCTCGTTATCCTTGTATGCTTATATGTACGATCACGCGAGTTAAGATAGATCTGAATTTTAATCAGATTGCATGTTGTAATGTTATCTATCGGAAGAGAGAGGAATGAGAGAGAAAGAGAAATTATTTCTTTAACAAGAAAATTATACCCCACATAGAAAAGCAGCTTCATTAAGAACCTATATCAGTTTTTCTACATTTTATATTAAAAAAGGTAAAATGATGATTCTTTATGTACCAGTTATCTGATCGTTCATGACAAACAGGCATTAAGGTTCACGATTGCATTTCTTTTTTCAAAGAAAGCAACTTGTTTGTACTGTTATCCTATATAAACATTATCCAGTAGACTTTTATAAATAAACCGTGAAAATGCATTATCGGGGAAAATATATGTTTTACTACTCTTTCGTTGGGTAGATTTTGACACTTTTAATTTTGTTTTAAATAGAAGGCCATTTTTCCTTAAACTTATATAGAAATGATGATTGAGATACCTCATTTAAAGAATGGAAGTGACACTGATCAAGTAGTTAAGATAACGCCTCCCGATTTGCACTGGTCTTGTTTCGATGAATGTAATTTATTTACGCATGGTCCTGAATCCTTGTCCGGGTTTTGCGTAGCTTTTAATTCGCTTTATTTTTATCAGCGCTTAAACATTTGTGTCAGTTTTTTTTATATTTTAATTATAATTTTGCCTCGATATAATTTTTTTTTTTGGCAGTAACATTGGTACCATTAATGTCATTTTGTTTTTTAGTTTTTCAGACAATTTGTTCAAACTTAATAGAAATTCGTAGACCCTCTGTAAAGAATACTCATTTCAATTTGTTTTTATGTATACAGAAACTATTTATTTACTGTTTGGGGGAAGTGGGCATGGTTTATTTTACTCATGGGTCAATTATTTTTTTAAACTTAGTCTAGAATCACTTAAATTATCATCCAGGAATAAATTTGTTTGTAGATTTATATACAACGTTGTTTTTCTTCTGTAGCTTTTGATAGATAGAATGAGTTAATTTTTCAATTCCCTTCTGGATCAATATTTTTTTTCAGTAAAATAACAATCATACATCAACTCTGCAATGACAATGTATACATCCCCCTCCCCAGAGAAGAATTGAACGATATGTCATATTAAATATGTTTTTGTCATTAACCTTTAAATATGGTAGGAAAAAAACTTGAAATTGGTTAATGGTGTGTACTATGACACTGCGACCTATACACATACTTTCTAGGAGTTTAATAGCCCCTATTAATCTCAGCCTACATGCACATTTTGTAATGACTTCATCTGTTATTTAAAACCAATAATGACAATTATATTTGAAAGGTTATATTTAGCGAGACTTTATTTTCTACCAGATTTGTGACTTTTCATTTATATATGTACCAAATTTGTGTCTTTTTAACTTTTATTATTTGTGACTTTTTCCGTTTACCATTCCTTGTATAAACATACAAAGGTAAAATGTATGCCCTTTATAATAATTCTTTTCTCTTATTACTCTCCCTTTTGCTTCAGTAGATTTCCAGGAATGGTTAATTTCACTAAATTTAACTAAATTAATTAATCAATAACTTTGAAAGTAAACCTGAAAACACATAAACACCCTCCACCCGTTGAGCGAACTAGACGTAAATAAACAAGAATCAGTCAATACGAACTACAGTTTCTTCTTTTCTTCAAATACATTTTTTTAGAACATTTGCGTACAGTTAAAGGAGGCAAATATACATCATAGGTTCCATTAAAAGGTATTAGAAATCAAATGGTCATCCTTTCCGTTGATATATCGTTATCAGTCTGAACCTTTATTATCGATGGTTTCTTGCTATATGATCTTAGTTTGTTTTGTCTGTTCCGATAAAAAACATTGCTACCAAAAGCTATTATTGATTTTGATTACAAAATTGTTAACGATGGTTTATGAAACATGGTCTTAAATATTACCGTAATTATGATTGAGAGACATCAATTATTTTCAGGTGATACATCGCTAACAAAAACGCATTATAATTGTTGGTTCGAATTTTGTCGAATTTCAGTAACTTTCATCCAGGACAGTACTAGTTCGAAACATAGGCGACCTCATCAAAGCCGGACTTTAATCTCACTTCTGGTCAATTCCTAAATAAAGGAAAAACCTATAAGAAAAATCATATTAGAGACGTATCATTTGCTACCAAACTTTAAGAGATTAAATAGGTTTAAAAAGGTGTGAGTTGTAATTGTTGACATTTAACATTGTTCCTTTACCAACATTACTTTCAACTGAATTTACAAAATTACAAATTAGGTTTTAATCATGAGTAAAACAAAAGACTTAAAATACAGAAAAGTAGAAAGAAAGAAAAGTGACGCTAAAAAAAATTATATGAAAGTCGGTAAAACAGACAACCTCAGGGAAAAAAGGGCTTATACAACGCACATATATATCAAAAATTTGAGCAAGGCAAACCGCACAATAAACCCGTGTATGAAATAAGGTGCTCAAGAGGGATGATTAGTTCCTTTTCGATATGGTTCATTCATTTTGTTGCTCATTAACAAGCATAATCCGGGGAAATTTCGCATTCGCTTATATCATAAACTAGGAAAGGATTACGGGATTATGGCTATATCAAATGCAGCATTATCTATCATCTTGTAAAGTCTTTAGTATTTGTCTAGTTTATTGATTATATTTTAAAAAATCTGCAGTATTCATGGGTTATCTAATTTATATCTTTTTTTAATTTTTAGATAATAGATACAAGCAGAACGGGAAAAACTGAATACAAGTGATGTTTGAACTATAAACAAAATTGAAAACAAATATGGAGAAGAAGAAATGTTATAAGACACAAAACTAAGATATTACAATCATTTAATAGTTATTATGTATTTTAAGAAAGAAGAGCGGTGAACTGATTTACAATTTTTTACTAGCTAGTATATAATTTATCAACAAATTCAGTATTAATTTCTTTCCTTAAATATTTAACAAATTTGTATATTTTTAAATCTATAAAATTTTATATCCATTGTATTCTTTGTAAAAAAAAAATAATTAAATAAAAGCACTTTTTCCAAGTTCAAATGGTTTAAGTTGTTTTTGGTGATATTCAGTATCAGTCTTTATTCTGTTATTTGCTGTTATTCTGCGGTTTACATGTTGTAATGTACTATTTGATTATTTATTTATGTATTGCTCTGTGCTGCGTGTTCTTGCGATAATTTGTACTGCATTCCTGTCACGTAGTGATGTCGTTCTAGCGGTATTTTTAACATTGCCATATAAGCGGGAGGTTTAGCTAACCACAAAAGCAGGTTCAACCCACCATTGTTTCTTAAAATGTCCTGTACCTAGTCAGGAATATGGCAGTTGTTATCCACAGTCCGTTTCTATGTTTAATGGCGTTTGCTCAACGTTGTTCAGTGTTTCTGTTGTTCCGTTGTTTTCCTCTTATAGTTGATGTGTTTCCCCCGGTTTTAGTTTGTTACCCGGATTTATATTTGCTTAATCGAATTATGACTATTGAACAACGGTATACTACTGTTGCTTTTATTTATATTAAACTTGTTGTTTTTAAAATTGTAAGAGAAAAGGTCTGCTCAAATGTATCTTTCGTACAGGTAATGACCCCATTCATTTGTATGCCGTGACAAAATGCGAAGATAATGTTGTGATTAATCAAATCTTAATTTCTAAGGTTATGCCTAATGCCAATTACTTGCATATGGAAAATATGCGTAAATTACAGTTCAAATTAAAAATAGAAATATATGACAATGTATGGCTCCCTGTGCTACAGTTAGCCAGTAGCCTTGGCTTTTTTGTTCAAAAACACAAACTTTTCGCGAGGAATATCAGAATATTGTACGGTTTATAAATTAACTCTGTACATAACAAGTTTGAAATGTTGTTTTGTTTTATATGATAATGGATAATATAGTAACAGTTTTGTCTATAAATGTAAGGGGTCTTTTTTCTAATTCAAAAAAGAGAACAGGTGTTTTTGATTGGGCAAAGGGCAAAAATGCTTTAGTTATTTGCTTTCAGGAAACCCATATTAATAAAAACATTGAAAAAAAAGGGAAGAGGAATGGGGAAATACATGTTTGTTCAGTCATCATAGTAACAAAAGTGCAGGTGTCAGTATTCTGTTTAAAAAAAGTCTTGGTTTTGAAGTGCATAATTCTCTTATTGATATTGATGGTCGTTATATTATTTTAGATTTATCCTTGTCAAGTCAAAGTATTACTTTTGTTTGTTTGTATTGATTCAATACTGATGAACCTTAAATTTTTAATGATATACTTTAGAAAATTGCATCTATTTCAAAAACTAGCATTTTATTATGAGGGGAATGGAATGTTGTACAAGAAACAAACATAGACACTTACAATATTATTCATAATAGAAACCACAATTCACGAAAAAGGATTGAAGAAGTAATAGAAAGTCTTGAATTATTGGATCCTTGGCGGACTTGGCGGACTTGTTATCCAAATGAAAGAAAATATACCTGGCGTCAATGCTCACCCATAAAAAAAGTCGGCTTGATTTTTTTCTAGTCACAGAGGATCTGTTTTCACTCATGAAAAATACTAACATTATTCCTGGGAATAAGACAGATCATTCTGCTATAACGTTCACCTTCTCTGCCAGTTAAGCACAGCGGGGAAAAGGAATCCTGGAAATTTAACTCCCAACTGTTACGATATTTAGACTATATTAGAAAAGTTAAATATGTATAAATGAAAGTATTTTAGAATATTATGAATCAGGAGACATAGATGATCCTCTGAATGTTAAACTTTCATGCAACTCTCAAGTATTTTTTAGGTTTTTAAAAATGAAAATTAGATCTTTGTCTATTGGTTATAGTATTCAAAAAGCTAGTTAGGAAAAAGCTCAACACTTTACTTGAAAATCACATTCAAAATTTGGAAAATTGTATAAACATATCTCCAGATGGTCAAATTCATGCAGCTTTAAACCAGACAAAGCTAGAATTGGAAAACATAAGGGAAAAAATTGAAGGTGTTTTATTAAGATCCCACGCTAACTGGCATGAGAATGGGGAAAAGTGTACACAGTTCTTTTGTAAATTGGAAAAGAAAATTTTTATTAAAAAATCTATAACTGAGCTCATAGACGAAAAAGGAAAACATATATTAGAGCAATCTAGAGTTTTACAAGAAGAAATGAATGTTTTTAAAACATTGTACTCAAGTAACAATCTGGAATGTGACGATGAATCCTTTTTCAAGCACAATGTAAAACTCACAGAAGAACAGAAAGACTTGTGTGAGGTAATATTACTTTTAAAGAATGTGCAGAGTCATTAAAATCTATGTCAAATGGGAAAAGTCCAGATGTCAGATGGGTATACTGTAGATTTTTACAATTTTTTGGAGAGATATTTGACCTTTTCTTTTTAGATCATGATATTTTAGCTATAAAAGGGGCAATTTTCAAAATTTCAGTATCAAAGTGTCGTGACATGTATTCCAAAAGAAGATAAAGATAGACGTCATTAAGATAATTGGCGCCCAATTAGCCTTATGAATACTGATACCAAGATTGCTTCTGCTGTCATTGTTAATAGAATAAAACCTGTTTTACCATCTATTATCAGTGAATGCCAGAAAGGCTTTCTAAAAGATAGATTTATGGGTGAGATACACATCTTTTGTATGATTTGATGCACTATTTAGAAAAACATAATAAAACTGGTTTTTTACTACTTGTAGATTTTAAAAAGGCTTTTAACTCAATCGAATGGTCCTTTTTGAAAAAAAGCATTGATGAGTTTCAATTTTGGAACATCTATTTGCAGAAGGTTTGAAGTATCTTATTTGAAAGCATTAAGTTGTGTTATAAATAATGGTCATCTTTCAAGCTTCTTTTATGTGGCGATGAGCTGTAGACAAGGAAACACCTCTTCCCTTACCTTTTTTTGTTATAGGTGTTGAGTTATTTTCTATGAAAATAAAGTCAAACTACAATATAAAGGGTACATCTGTTCATGAAAATGAATCCTTTTTGAGTCAACATGCTAACGACACTTTCCTTATTTTAGATGGAAGTGAAACATCATTGAAGAAGACTTAAAATGATTTGATTCTTTCCAAAAAGTATCTGGGTTACAAATTAACTCTTTTAAAACTAAAGTTGTGTGGGTTGGGGATAAAAGTATTCAGATCTGATTCTCTGTCCAGAATCAAAACTTCCTTGGTGCTATTCAAATTTTAAACTTTTGGGAATTCATTTCTCTTTAGATCTTGCCATTATGCCAGAAATTTACTTTCCAAAAAGCTAAAGGAAGTATCAGGCATTCTTAAGATTTGGCAACATAGAAAATTAACCCTTATGAGAAATATTACTGTTATCAAGACTTTGGCGCTTCCAAAACTAATTCGCCTGTTGACTGCACTACCCAACTTTCCGGAGTCAAAATTAAATGAATTGAATACTTCATTCTTTCAATTCATATGGAATGGAAAACCTGATAGAATTAGACGAAGTACTATAATTGGAGATATTCCAAAAGGTGATTTAAATATAATTAATATACATTATTTAAATATATACCTTAAGATTGGCTGGATAAAGCGATTTTCATCCAATTTATGTGGTAATTAGCAATCATTGTTACTGAAAAGCCTTGAACAGTATGGTGGAGAAAGAGTATTGCATTTTCATAAGGAGAAACACAGAGAAATCTCTGATAGTCTGAGCAATCCTTTCTGGAAGGATGCATTTTTTATCTTTCATTTAGCAAAGCCTACAACCAATATTTCTGTTCAAGATATTTTGTCATTAGATATTTCAAATTTCGCATCTCTAGTAGATTTTCCATACTTCATTCAGTGGCAGAGAAGGGGAGTGCAGTCTTTGTTTGACCTTGTTAACCTAGAGACTAAGGATTTTTGTAATTTTGGTCAGATGGGACCAAGACTTCAAACAAATAATTTCTTGAAGTTTTATGGTCTCATTGCCAAAATTCCAAAGCTTATAAGAGAACATATTAAAGAGAACATTGCTCATGTAATTTTTGAAACTTTTAACTGTACTGACAATTTTTTTGAAAGATTGTTGTGTAACAAAAAGGCCAAATTAATATATAAAGATCTTGTTGACAGAAATGTGCAACTGCCAACAGAAAAGCTCTTGCAATGCGAGAAATTACTGGGTATTGAAATTGCAGATTGGTCAGAATATTATATCATTTTAAGAAAATCATGTAAAGACACTTATTTAAGAACTTTTCAATACAAAGTTTTGCATAGAATAATTGCAACAAATACTTTCTGGAATAAAGTTAAACTTAAAGATTCAAAGCTTTGTACATTTTGTACGGTTTCTGATGAAACCATGGAGCATTTGTTCTATGAATGTCCAATAACACATTTTATATGACAAAATTTTGTGAACTTTACATTGCCTAAGAAACACATTTTTCTTGGCCTTCAAAATGAGAGTTTACTGTTAAATTTGATGATTATAATTGCAAAGAACTATATATACGAATGCAAATTGTATCAAAAAGAAACCGAGTATTAGAGAGCTAATAGCCAAAATAAGAAAATATCAGGGAAATGAACATTATATAGCAAAGAAAAATGGTATCACACCATTTTATCAAACATTCTGGGCCCCAGTAGATTAACTTTTTACTGATTAGTAAGAATTACTTTTGATTCAAATCATATAAAAAAATTGAACTTACAGTTTTTAAAGAGCAGATCTTTACAAAGATAACATTTTTCTTTGCAATACACAATTTGATGTATGTTATGTAAATGCAAGTGCAAGAATGTGTGTATGTGTGTGTAATTGTTCTTTTCACCTTTTTATTATAATGTTGATATTCATCTAATATATATTCACAATAGTAGAAAAAATGTAGTCAATTATTTAAATTTTGATTTATTCATCAAACCTCTTAACACCACAGTCAGGTGGTGATGTACAGGGATTGTAAAAGCCTGACAACTGAACAACAAATAAAAAAAAAAAAACTCTGTACATAACAAAATGATCAGACAGAATTTGTTTGTTTAATATTTTATCAGTCTCTTCATTACATG